ACTACATCAAAGGTTCCCAAGTTATGTTCTATCTACAGGATTCCCTGAAAACACTCCAGGGACCCTAGAATAGGTAGGGCATTGATGCTCTACTTCTGTTTCACCCAGAGAGGCATTCTTTTTTATCTATTTTATATGTTAGGATTCTGTGCGAAATTTCAAATAAAGAAAGGGTTTCACATTTAAAAGAGCCCATATGCCAGTGAGTACAGACAGCAGGTTCAGGAGTCTTCGGTTTTCTTTGCTCTGTGTTAACACTAAATGCAAATTTTATTTCTTCTCTAAAAGATAATGGATGCACATGATACAAGCGTACCAAATATACAGAGTGATGAGTTAGTCAATCTTGCATTCTGGCCTTAGCGTACCTGGCTCCCTGCCACAGCTTCTAGTTTCTTAGATACCTTACTGGCGACAGACAATGTACATTCAAGCAAGTATTTGTGTACTCCTTTTTAAAAATACCCATAGGGAAAGATATATAATGTTCTATGCTCTATACCTTTATTTATATATATATGTATATGTATGTGTGTGTGTGTGTGTATTATTGTATGTTGTTGTTGTTATTTCCCGTCGAGTTGGCCCCGACTCATAGCAACCCCTCCTTGGGTTTCCGAGGCAGTATCACTACGGAAGTAGGATGCCCAACCTTCCTTCCGAGGAGTGGCTGGTGGGTTTGAACCACCAGCCTTCTGGTTAGCAGTCAAGTGCCTTTAGGCACTATGCTACCAGAGCTCCTGTGTATTATTGTATAGGAACGATTTTAAATTATTTTGGTCAAGATTGCTAATATAAACAATGCTCCTTCATTTTCACTGAAGAAATTTCATGTACCAAATTAGTGATAATTTGTCAATCCCTCTGAAAGGTAAAAAAAATATCATGAAATCACTTTCCATGAAATCAGCAGAAGATACTAAATACTACAGTGAATAATGGATTGCACACTATCTCAATTTTACCAATGGTGAAATGGAAACATGCCCAAGGAGTTTTGTAACTGATTTCAGGTTAAAGACACTGGCAAAATCAAAACTCCTAGAGCCATCAACCACCTGGAATTTTGTGTCCCTTTGTCAGTAAACTTATGCACACATTAAATGCTCATGAGCACCACTACAAGTTTATTAGCACAGCAGGGCTACAGGCCTAGGAGGTTATTCAGACAGAGGTGAGACATCCCTATGCCTTTGTGTTGCCAGGGCCTCAAGTTTCCAAGGACCATACACTGGTCTTGCCACCCGCAGTTACCACTGTTCCCTGGCCTTCAGTCCTAGTCAGACATCAGGACCACCCACTGGAACCATTATTATTCTTTTCTGCCTCAATGTTTTGTTTTTTTTCCATGAGAGACAGTTTCTAACTTCTTGTGGCAGATTTTATTTTTCAACTTAAGCATCTTTATGGGTGGTATGGAAATTAATTTCCCAGAGCTAGACTACATTTCTGGGAACCTCTTAAAACACAGGAAAAACTATCTTTTAAGTCCTTATTCTTCCTTCTCTTAACCAATTATTTGAAAGAGACCAAGTCAATTGATTTTTCTGAGAGTCTTAGTTTCTTCAACTATAAAAATAAGAATTTCAGATTAGCTGACATAAGGCCTCCTAGATGTTTGAATTACAGGGAAAAAGCAACATTTTTCTTATATACTCTCCTTTTAGGAAAAAGGAGTAAAGTAAATTTTAATAAAGTAAGTTGACATTAGGAATTTCTTACGTGGATTAAAAAGAAAAAAAAAAAAACTTAACAAAATATACAAACTGAAAGGACCAAGACACACCCCTTCCCAAACTCCCCTAATGTGACTGCCAGGGCAAGCTCTGGGGTCAGAGTCCAGCCCCACTCTAGCTAAGCACTCTCTGCAAGTACTGATGTTTTAAACGATTACCTTAAAGGACAACAGGATCTTAAATCACTGATGAAAATTTAACCATTTCTCTATGCTGTAAATCACAATATAGAGAAAGTGTCCTGATACATTTTAGAGAACTAAAAGGATGTTCCTGTCAGCAGGTAATTCACTTAGCTGGAACAACACGGCAGGAGAGCTTTCAGTGCTACAGAAGCACTTGAGAGCTATCATTTACTGCAGGCATACACAGACCAAACACCATACCAAATGCTTCACATGCATTTTCCCAATTAATTCTCACAATTTTTATGAGGAAACTGAAGCTTAAGAAAGACTGGCAAGTGATAGAGAATGAAGCGCAATCATAAAACTGACTAGAAACAGTCAATCTGAGCAACAAATACTTGACACCTCTATCAACATCCATACTTGTTTACACACAACATACAAACTCACACCAAAATGTTTCTTCAACCAAGATTATTCATAAGAGAATCAAACTAACAATTTTGAAAAGACAATTCTTAGGCTCAATTACTCTAAAATTTGAGTAAAATGTTTAAGTAAAAATATATTTTTACTTAAATATATTAAGTATTATTTATAATATTTAAGTATTATTTATATTGTTTTTTATATGAGTAAAAATATTTAAAGCAAAAATATATAAAAACTTTCTAAATAATTGTTCCATTAGCTGTCAAACAGTGATTCTTCACATATAATGTAGCCCAAGAGCACTTGTATAAAGCTATCCTTATGCTCATTTAAAGGCATGTGAACGTGCTCCAGAAAGACTGGCCCGCCTGTAGTTCTCTAACAGACAAGCTGATTCCTTCTCGCTGCACACACTGTTCCTTCTGATTGGAATGCTTTCCCCAATGTACTCACAGCTGGCAAACTCACAATTCTCCTTCAAATTCCTGCAAGTGCATTCTCTGTGAACCCCAAATCAGAGGCAGACTCAAGTGCTCCTTGCACTGTACTACTGTCCTTTTACACCTCAATTATGTATTCTCTGTGCTACAGTAAACGGCAACGATCTGTTTATATATCTATCTTCCATTACGACTGAAAGTTGCTAAAGGACAGAAACCATGCTTTTTCATTTATATATGTTCCAACCCTTAAATACAGGATTTGGAGCCCTGGTGGCACAGTGGTTAAAGCATTCAGCTGTGAAACAAAAAGGTTGGTAGTTCAAACCCACCAGCAGCTCTGCAGGAGAAAGAAAGATGTGGCAGTCTGCTTCCATAAAGATTTACAGCTTTGCAAACTTTACTACACCAATTCTACTCTGTCCTTATAAGCCAATTCTACTATGTCCTATAAGGTTGCCATGAGTCAAAATTGACTCGATGGCAGTTAATACATAATCTAACACAAGTGGTCAGGGTTCATTACCTCATGCAGAACAACAAATCATAAACATTTTAAATCTTTTCTGAGACAATTAACATATACTGTCTAGGAGCACTGGTGGCATATTGCGTAAGGCATCTGACTGCTAACCAGAAGACCAGCGGTTCAAACCCACCAGCCACTCCTCAGAAGGGGAAGCCTGGGCAATCTCCTGCCATTAGTGATACTACCTCGGAAACCTAAGGAGGGGTCGCTATGAGTTGGATCTGACTCGATGGCAGCGAGTTTAGGATTTTGATAAATGGGTAGAAAAGTATATTCTAGGTCAGGGCACCAACAGCATATGAGCACAAAGGTTCAAAGTGTAAGATAACCTAAGAACGCGTATTATACATTTAAAAGCTCCTCACTATTACAGATACAGGCATTCTGAAAGAAAATGGGGTGGGAAATCTGATCACAGAATTGTAAAAGCTTCCAAGAAAATAAATATGTGGCATATATCCCTCCAATCTTTTCTCCTAGCTAAAAGCTATTCTTGGTCACATCCTCAGCTGCTATGTCATATGTCAGCCCATAAGATAATTTAAAAATTAACTCATTGACAAAGGGACCTAGCAGTCATTAAAAGATATTTCATACACTAACCATTAAAAAGGCTTAATGTTTTCATTTATTCAAAAAATATATTGTAACATAGAGTAAGCTGATGACAACTTTATTATTATACACCTAGCCTACGGATGAGGAAATGCAGGCAGGTAAAATAAGTTAACTACGGTGACAAAGGAAGTGACAGAACCAGAGTCAGACAATATTATTTTAATACATTGTTCCCTTGATTGTTTTTGCTTCAGTTGCATACTTTTTACAGAAACTGTATTTCTAAACAGTTGTATATATACTCTAAGTATTCTTATAATTGAAGTCTGCTTAAAACAGGGCATACTTACATGCAGGAAAAAAGTAAACACCCATGTTAATTAAAAGTAATATCTGAAAACTGGGCAAGATTAAACTCTGGTGTCTAAAATTGGACTGGTGGGCAAGTAAAATGATCAAAAACACAAGGAAGTGATTACTAGAAAAACAGGGATAATGATCAGTTTTGAGGGGAGGGACAGGGTTGTGATTAGACATGCACAAGGAGGGGCTTCTGGGGACGAACGTCAATGTTTTATTTTTCAACCTGGATGGTATTTGTAAGTGTTAACCTTATAATAATAAGATACATACTTCTACTGTGTAGATTTCTATATCTCTATTTTACTTTACAATAAAAAAGATTTAAAAAAAAGACTGTTAATCCCATTCTTGCAGTTGTTAAAAAATATTAAATTTTCCTCTAATAAAAATAATACATAAATGACCAAAAAGTATACTTTTACAAAATCAAGACAAATATACATAGGATAAATGGATAGTAATATTCCTCCCAAAGAGTTTCAGTAATGTTCAAAAAATAGTCTATGTTAACAAAAGGCAATTTCTACAAATAACATGAAAAATAACTAAGAAAAAAAGAAGTAAGATATCAGAATCAATGAGGTTAAGAGAAAATAGAACCTGTTACAGTAGATTATTCTTATGAAGACAAATACATGAAGAATTCACATACAATTTTTAAATTAGAATGTTTCTTTATAACAATTACATTTAATTAAACACAGAGAGAGCACATCTTCTTAAAAACAAAAGACAAAATTACAGTTTAATTATTTAAAAACATTATGCACAAACAACACAAACACAGCCTGAGAGTTTTGGGGAAAGTACTAACCAGTTACTGCCAGCAGCTGTGAAACTCTCACCTCCATTTCCTCCCGATGAGACCTGTCTCGATCTTCAAACTCACGGGTCCTTCTCCGAGCCTCTTCAAAGGCTTGTTGTGCTAATGCATCCTCCTGCTGTCAGAAGAATACATGAAACAGATCTTATTTTGATTTACATTTAGGTATTCAAAATTTGGGAATGTTTTATTTTTTGAAAGGAACAAACAGCTGAGTTATTTCTCAAAATTTCAACGCTACAAAAAAGTTCATGTCAGAGCTACTTTTAAAAGAAACATCCAGTATTTTCAGAGTTTGTATTACACCTTAAAAATAGTAACTGTACCCAATTATATTCTAACATTTAAAATACTCTTCCCCTTTCTTTCCTCAATGATGATGTTGTGTGCTTAATTCTGACTCACAGTGACCCTATTAGATAAAGTAGAATTAGGATTTCCTAGGATGAAATCTTTACAAGAGCACATACCAGGTCTTTTCTCCATGGAATGACTCGTGGATTTGAACTGCTGACTTTCACTTAGCAGCTGAGTGCTTTACCACTGAGCCACCAGGGTTCCTTTCTTACACATTACATGGATAAAATATGATTATCCTATTGACTTGTTCTTTATTTGATAGTTTTTACAAACTAAGCTGTTTAATGTTTAACACAGATAACAGTATTGAAGCACAAGAGGGAAATAAAGTTACTTCACTCCATTCACCAAAATAAAGTCCCAACCAAGTCAATATTTAAACCACAGAAGGACAAACAAGAAAAATTGGAAAATACTTCTATAATTTGGAGATTAGAAAGGCCGTCTCTAATCATGACATTAAAGCCAGAAATATGAAAAAAGACGATGAACAGAATTGACTAACAAATACTAAAAGCTTCTAAACACTCTCTCTCTCCTTGCCCCCAGAGAGTCAATAAACCACCAAGTCCTCCTACCCATTTGACTTCCTAAAATAATTTTGGAATCTTCAATCTCCTCTTTATTCTTACACACATTTTCCTAGTTTATGCCCCTAAGATATCTCCTTACCTTGATTACTGCAAAGCCCTTTCATTCTGCCACTCCTAAATCTACCACAAAGCATTAGAATGCTCTTTCTAAAACACAATTGACCACACTTCTCCCAACTTAAAACAGTTCCCTCAATGTCTACAGCACAGGATTCTCAATCTTTGTAGTCACATGTTTCTGAATTCTGGGATTTTCAATGACACACTTGAAGAAAGTAAAAGATCACAACAATACCAAAAAAATCTCATCAGAACTCATCATCTGTAGTAACAACCAAAAAGGATGTATATGGTTACAAAGGGAGGTATGTACACTTATATATGTATAAGTAAGCATATATGAATATACAGGGGCACATGTATAGGTGTTGCTGTAGGGAAATATATATACATGTTTGTATGTGCTATATGTATATTCATATATAAACTAAAGCACAGAGGGGGCACAGTTAAGGATACTTCCTAGACATAATCAAATACCATGCATGACTGGGCTACTGGGTTTGAGGGTTTAGGACTATAATCTCAGGGGCAACTCAGTCATCTGCTGTAACAGCTCATGAAGATAATGTTCCACATCCTAGTTCATTAAGAAGCATCTGGGGTCTTAAAGGCTTGTGAACAGTCATCTGAGATCTAACTATTTGTCTCTATACATCTGGAACAAAAGAGAAAGGAAACCAAAGACTCAAAGAAAAGACTAGTCTACAGGACTGATATCTTACATGGCCTCATCTACTCTGAGACCAGAAGAACTAGATGCTGTCTGGCTACCACTGACTGTTCCAACCAGGCACACAAAAGACAGTACTAGATAGCATGGGGGAAAAAAAAAGAACAAAATTCAAATTCCTAAAAAAGACCAGACTTACTGGAACAGTAGAGACTTGAAGAACCCCTGAGACAACCACCATGGGATACCCTTTAAACTTGGAACTCAAACTACCAGAAGTCACCTATCAGCCAAAAGATAGAGTGTATCATAAAATACATAATACCGTATCACCTCTGAGGACTGTGCTCCAATAAACAATCATCTAAATGAGACCGAAAGGTACACATTTACCCTAGACCAAAGATGAGAAGGTAAAAGAGAACAAGGAAGCAGAACAACCAGAATGGAAATAATGAGAATGCAGACACACTGTGAAACGTGAAATGTCACTGAAAAATATATACAGAAATTATTACAAAAGAACCTAATTTGCTATGTAAATTTCCTCCAAAATCATGATAAAATACTTAAAAAATAAAAACAAAACAAAACTCACCTTCCTAGAGTCACTGCAGCAAGGGGTGGCTGTGTAATAGTTCTAGCCAGTGAGACAGAAGTGTAAATCACCTAATGGTGTTTCCAAGAAAGTCGTTAAGGAGATATTTAACCTTTCCTCCTTCCTGGCACTCATGCAATGCCTGGAGAGGCAAGGATTCCTGATAATATAACTGAGGTACTACACATCACGCTTGGGCTGTGTACTACCAGCTATTTTGTTCTATGTGATAAATCTTTGTCACAGTTAGTAGGGTTAATACTTGTAGGTTTCAATGATAAATGAAAGGTGTAACTAAATTCACACTCTTATGATGCACTTACTAGCCTTATGACAGAATATTTCACTTCTCTAAGCCACAGTGAACTCACATGTAAAATAGGCATAGTAGTAATACTTACCTTATAAGACTGTTGGATTAAATGAAGTGACATAAAAAGTGCTTAAGCACACTACCTGACAGCATTCAGTAAGTGCTAGCTAGTATTTTACAAGTATTTATAGATCTATAAAATACACACATTTGACTAAACATCATTACACATACATACTCTATTCTCAGAATGCACAATGTAAGCCAGAGGTATCTGCCAAAGGAGCTGTTCCCAAATCACAAAGGCTTTCTATTTAGTTAGGTATCAGCTAGGACACATTTGTCAATGACAGGATATCTCTTCTATTCTATACATTCATTCATTCCCCTTTTCCATTTATTTCATAAATATTTAGTGAATCTTAATTACGGACAAGGACATCATGCTTAGTAAAGTAGAGAGTCAAGGAAAAAGAGGAAGGCCCTCAACAAGATGGACTGACACAGTGGTTGCCAACAATGGGCTCAAACATGACGATTACGAGGATGGTGCAGGACTGGCCAGGGTTCCCCTCTGTTGTACATAAGGTCACTAGAACTATATGTATTTTATGGTTGATAACATTTATTTCACAACAAACCCTTTCTGCAACATTAAGTTTTAAAAATCAAAGTACACGTTTAATGCAAAATGAAGAATCAAATGTGTTTTCCAAGGAAGTTAATGATGAATATATAATCTGCACAAAATATAGACATTTACCATTTTCTGTGGGAACAAGAATCCTATCACTGATCACATGAAAACCCAAAGAAATAAACGTGCTGAAGAAGCATCAGCTTCTACTTCAAAGACAATATAATTTAACATACACAGCTGCAAATGGTACATTTAAGATATCACTCTGCAGAATCTAACTTTTCATTTAAATCAAATGACTTTTAAGTTAATTTGACACACATTCTTGTGTACATACAAAAAGCAAAGCTGTTTATATATTGGCTTCAGTCAGAAAAACCTCACAAACTAAGTGATGAGAGTTTTACATCAGTGTCATCAAGTACTTCAAACAGAAAATCTGTTAATTCTAATAATGGCATACAGAAATACAACTCATTTTTGTGTATTATTCAAAGACCTTGTTAAATTCATGTGTTAATTTTTGTTACTATTTGTAGATTCTTCTGGATTTTCTAAATACACCTGTCTTCTGTAAATAAAGGTAGTTTTACATCTTTCTCTTAAGTCGTGTCTTTGGTTTCTTTTTAGGAGCTATAATTCTGGCAACTAAATTCGGCAAAATAGAAGAATTATAAATAGAGACAACTTATTTGAGCTTGTCTTACAAAAATATCTGTCAAAGACAGGTACTCTGAACAAAGGCAAAAATACCTGTGAAAACATTCCAGCTAAAATATTTACACAATTTAATATTTAGAAACAAAGCTGTGAATATCCTCCATTTACTCCAAGTCAACAGGTACCTCAGCATGTATTAGGGAGCATTTTTTCAAATTCCTATTTAGGCTACAGAAGAGTCCACTGGAAATAACAACAGTTTCAAATTTATTAACTACAGCATGTACTCTGAACAAGACTGCAGGTACTTCTATGGGAAATTAAACTAAGATCATATTGAGAAATATAGCTATATATCTTTGAGAGAAATACCAGAAAAATACTAGATACAAATATGCATAAGAAACTATCAAAGTACATGAATAGGTATTCTCCTTGTTATATTTTTAATTTTAACACCTTTTCACTATCAAGAATGTTTCAGTTTATACAATGAATAATATAATCATTCTAATTATATACAAAATTATATTACATCTTTACTGAAGTAACATTAACCATGAGCTTATATAAATTTGCAAAATTGTTTCTGGTGCATTTAGAAGTGTTACTTCTGCCTCTATGATGACTAGCAGAAAGAAACAAAGTGGTGCTGGGACACAAAACGGGGGATGCCAGTCAGGCTCATTCCCTAAAGAAGGTGATCACTGTAGCACAAAAATCTCCATGAGAAAGTGTTGAAATTCACACTCTGTAAAATTAAACATTATTACATGAGATACACTTTAGGGTCCCTTGAGTGGAAACCTAAAATGCTTAAGTGCAAGAAGTAAGAAAACCAAGAGTCTTCATTTAGGAAATTTCTACATGCCAGGTACCAAAAAACCAGGTGCCACTGAGTCAATTCCAACTCATAGCGACCCTATATGACAGAGTGCAACTGCCCCACAGGGTTTCCAAGCCTGTAAATCTTTATGGAAGCAGACTGCCACAATTTTCTCCCATAGAACACCTGGTGAGTTCAAACCACCAATCTTTTGGTTAGCAGTACAATGCCTTAATCACTGCGTCACCAGAGCTCCTATGCTAGGTATAGCCTTTTAGGTCTGTGACCTTATTCAACTGCTCACAATTTTGTGGGGTGGCATTATCTTCACAGCTCTCTGGACCATGAGGGTTAACTGGGATCTTAGTACGGTCACTTTCATTGTCTCTTTCCCTGGATCTCTCTGTTAAATTTCTTGGTGGTGTGCCATTTGGTTGCTTCTTGTGACATTAGCTTTCCCTGCTTTTTTTGACACTGAAACCTCGACTGTTAGAAAATATCCCTAAGCATGGATTTTTCTAAGTTCTGTTCTAAAGTTAGCCCTTTCTGATAGGGCAGTAGCACTGCCAATCCTCATGGCTTGCCCCACCTGCTTGGCATAGAACTTGAAGGCCACAGAGCTGGGGGGAGAGATGTGAGCAGCTTGGGACTAAAATGTTCTATTGTTCTGGGACTCAATAGCTCTTCTTGAATAAATGTTTCAAGGTGCTGAATTTCTGCCCTTAGGTTCATTCCCAGAACTCCTAAATGGTTATTGTTTTACAATTTTGTCTAATTTATCACTGCTTTTAGAGGACAGGACATTTGCCAAGCTCTTTACTTACCCATTACAGAAGTCCCGTACCTACACTTTATGTGGAATTATGGTCTTTCTTCCCCCTCCCAATGTTTCAAAGATCAAGACAAACATGAAAGTGATTCACTTACTGAAATTTGAGGTTCCCCACTGAGCATATATAGAAGCCCATGAAATTCAGAACCACTATAGGAAACATACCACCACCACCACCAAATCAAAACCAGAATGTGGGCCTCAAAATCTTCAAGATTCCTCAGTATTTTTTAACACGATATTTTCTATACGTACTCTTAAAGACTGGGTAAAACAGGTCTCCACACAAGGGCAAGATCAGGAGCTAAATAAAGGGGCTGTGCTCAGTAAAGCCTAAAGTCATCCTACCTGGGCTCGCTCTTCATCAAACTCCAGGCAGCCCATACCATCCAGTCTCTGTAGATCAATCCAGCCTTTCCAGATAACACAAACTCCATTCAGAATCATGGGAGCCTTCAAATACACCTAAGACACAAATACCAAAGGATTAAGTAATAATTACTAAACTGTGGTTTTCTTTGGGGGGGAAATTATACACACACACACACACACACACACACATATATATAAAATTAAGAATTATAGAAAAGTATATAAACCATAGCCTCTGACCATAATTTTTTCCTGTTTCATTTTTATGCGAACAGATATCCAGTTTTGCCAGCACCATTTGTTAAAGAGACTCTCTCTTCCTCCCTGTAATGAGTTTCAGTTCTTTGTCTTGGATTAACTGTCCACAGGTGGATGGATTAATTCTGTTCCACTGGTCTGTATGTCTGTTGTTGTACCAGGCTATTATCTACCATGGCTGTGTAGTAGGTTTTGAGATCAGCTTCCTACTTTGTTCTTCTTTAGTAATGTTGTCTTTATCCAGGGTCTCTTTCCTGTCCATACAAAGCTGGTGGTTAGTTTTTTCATCTCTTTAAAGAATGATTATGGAATCTGGATTGGGACTGCACTATAGCTGTAGATTGTTTTGGATAGTACTGACATTTTCACAATGTTAAGTATTCCTATCCATGAGTGTGATAGATTCTTCTATTTATGTAGGTCTTTTTTAGTTTTTGTATAGTATATTGTATAGTTGCATATAGTCTCACGTATGCATGTGAGAACTGGACAATGAATAAGGGAGACCGAAGAAGAGTTGATGCTTTTGAGTTGTGGTGCTGGCGAAGAATGTTGAAGGTACCATGGACTGCTAAAAGACCTAACAGATCTGTCCTGGAGGAAGTGCAGCCAGAATGTTTCTTGGAAGCAAGAATGGCCAGACTTCGTCTCACCTATTTTGGTCATGTTGTAAGAAGGGACCATTCCCTGGAGAAGGATGTCATGCTTGGTAGGGTGGAGGGTGGACGAAAGAGGGGGAGGCCTTCAAGGAGATGGATTGACATGGTGGCTGCGATGATGGGCTCAAGTATAACAGGGATTGTGGGGCTGGTGCGGGATCGGGCAGTGTTTCGTTCTGCCGTGCATGGGGTCACTATGAGTCGGAAACGACTCGACGGCACTTAACAACAACAACAACAACAACATATTTTGTAGTTTTCTTGGTTTCTTTCGTTGTCGCTGGTTAGATTTATTCCTAAGCATTTTATCTTTTGAGTGGTTATTGTAAACGGTCTTGTTTTCCTGATTTTCTTCTCAGAACTTTTTTCATTAGTATAAAGGAATCAGACTGATTTTTTGTATAATGATCTTATACCTTGCCACTTTGCTAAAAAACTTTCAATTAGTTCCAGTAATTTTCTTGCTCAGTCTTTGGGATTTTCTATATATAGGATCATTATCATCTGCAAATAGAGTTTAACATCTTCTTTGCCAATATGGATGCCTTTTATTTCCCTTTCTCGCCTTACTGCTCTGGCTAGGACTTCCAGTACAATATTGAATAAAACAAAAATAAAAACAAACTCACTGCCGTCGAGTTGAATCTGACTCACAGCGAACCCTCCTTGGGTTTCTGAGGCGGTATCACCACAGAAGTAGGTTGCCCAACCTTTCTCTCCAGGACTGGCTGGTAGGTTTGATCTGCCAGCCTTGTGGTCAGCAGTCAAATGCCTTAGGCACTACACCATGAGAGCTCCTACAATAATGAATAGGAGGGGTGATAAAGGACATTCTTGTCTGGTACCTGTTTGTAAAGGGACTACTGTCAGTCTTTCTCCATTGAAAATAATGTCAGCCACTGTTTTTTAATTATGTTGAGGAATTTCCCTTCTATTCCTATCTTGTTCAGCACTTTTATCAGGAATGGGTACTGGATTTTGTCAAATGCTTTTTCTGAGTCAACTGATACGATCATGTAGTTCTTTTCCTTTTCTTTATGTGGTGGGTCACAATGACTTATTTTTTCTAACACTGAACCATCCTTGTACATCTGGTATGAATCCGAGTTGGTCATGATGTATTATTTTTTTGATATGTTGTTAGATCCTATTGGCTAGGATTGTGTTGATAATTTTTGCATCTCTGTTAATAAGGGATATTGGTCTATAATTTTTTTTTAATGGTATCTTTTTGTCTTATGGAGCTCTGGTAGTGTAGTGGTTAAGGCATTTGGTTGGTTGCTAACCAAAAGGTCAGTGGTTTGAACCCACCAGCTGCTCCACAGAAGAAAGATCAGACAGTCTGCATCCATAAAGATTTACAGGCTTGGAAACCCAAGATGGGTTGCTAGGAGTCAAAATCGACCTAACAGCAATGAGTTTGGTTTTCTTTTTTCTGCCTGGCTTTGGTATCAGGGTTATGCTCATTTCAAAAAATGAATTCAGGAGTATTTTCTACTTTTCTATATTCTGTAATAGTTTGAGTAGAATCTGCTGTTACTCTTCTCTGACTATCTGGCAGAATTCACCAGTGACGCCATCTGGGCTGGGCTTTTTTATTGTTGTTGGTAGTTTTTTTATGACCTGATCAATTTTTTCTTCTGTCATGGGTTTGTTCAAATTTTCTACCTCAGTATGTGTTAGTTTTGATAGGTATTGTGTTTCTAGAAACCTGTCCATTTATTCTAGGTTTTCAAATGTGTTGGAGTATATAGCCTCTGATCACAGTCTATAAATTAATGTGGCCTACCAGAATTTTATTTCTGGTCATAATTATTTCAGATTATTTTTAAAAGAAAGTTCTGTAAAAGTTTGTAAGATCTATAAAAACAATAAAGTGATACTTGAAGTATCTATTGTTCATCTAGGTGAAGCTGGGACAGTTAGGTACTTTGCTTTGACTTCTGCATCTGGACAGAAGGGTAACAAAGATAGGAAACCACTGCAATCCACTCACCTTTGAAGAAAGCACACACTGCTTCCCCCCACTTGAATCCTTGGAGCCATCCACAGTCAGGCAAGCTCTTCACACTGCACTTCAGTTTTATAAGCTCACAGTATCATAGTAATGCTGTTTATCTTTTTATTTTTTAAACTTAAGTTAGCTAGAGCTTATTTCTGTCTTTAACCAAAGAACCTTAACATATAACATTTACTGCCATATCACTTTAGATGACATGTTGTTAATTAATGCTTAAGTTTCCGTAAAGATTTCAGGCAAAAACATCGCTGTATTTTATATCAAATTTAATTCAAGCTGTATCAGTCTTTAAAAATATAATGGAGAAGTGGTAAAGTCGCACATCAAACATGTATCTAGAAACTGCTAAGTTAACACAAAATCTAGTTATTTCAATTTACTGCTGAAATTCTTAAATACTTTTGTAAACTAACTTAAAATTTAATAAAAACGTAAATACAATTAAGCATCCGGAGAGGAGAACTGCTGCATTGTGGGACATTACAGTCAATGTCATGAAACAAAGTGTATGTGAACTGCTATATGGAAGATGAATTTGTCCTGTAAACTTTCACCCAAATCACAATAAAATGGAAAAATAAATAAATAAATAACAGCACAACAACAAAAAGCATTCTGAATTCTTAATGATGGGAATGCTTATTCTTTCACACTATACTTTAGGGTAAGAAAATCAGCCAGACTTCCCACATCACATGCAACAACTGTATCTGCTATATACTAGAGAAATATCTAAATCAAATCACTGACAAATTAAAATGTTTAAATATGTTCATTAGACTTTATGCACTGAGGTTTTAACGTATCTTGGAAAGTTTTAGAAAGATCTTCAAAAGGGCAGAAACAAAACTCATCTTTTATCTTGTAATCCTTCAGCTTTATCAGAAAACTCCTCCATCTTTGTGCTTTGGAATTTAAAACTTCAGTTTCATAATTTCATGAACTTTTCTTCTACAAAAAAATAGTCAATTTCTTCATCACTCCTTTTAAAGTAAATAAATAATCCTAGAGAAAAAGTCACCTTAGCTTTGATTTCCAAGTTCAGATCATTTTCATTCTGTACCACCAAATTAATTCACATACTGACACAAAATAAAGTATTCTGAAGAGCAATTAAGGATACACCAGGAAAGGAAAGGTGCCAATGCTATCATCCTGAGGTGAATATCTGACTGTAATCCAGATAAAGAAACCTAAGAAAAACTGATGACAGTATCTGCACTCTTGCCATCCTAGGACCGTATCAGCCTAACATTTACTTTTTAAAAATTTATTTATTATTTTATTGTTGTTGAGAATATACACAGAAAAATATACACCTATTCAACAGTTTCTACATGTATAATTCAATGAATCTATAGATTCATCAACAGACAAATTCAATCAATCTATAGATCTAACCAAACCAAACCAACCCACTGCCATGGAGTCAGATCTGACTCATAGTGATCCCTCTTTGGGTTTCCGAGGCAGAATCACTATGGAAGTAGATTGCCAAACCTTCCTTCTGAGGAGGGCAGGTGGGTTTGAGCCACTGCTATCTTTTATATCAAATTTCTATCAAATGCCTTATGCACTACACCACCAGGGCAGTTACTTTTTAAAAACATTGTTATTTTAGATTTTCTCCACATCATTTAGGAGCTCTGGTAGCATAGTGCCTAAGGCACTTGACTGCTCACCAGAAGGCTGGCAGTTCAAACCCACCAGCCACTCCTCGGAAGGAAGGTTGGGCAATCCTACTTCCGTAGTGATACTGCCTCGGAAACCCAAGGAGGGGTCGCTATGAGTCGGGGTCGACTCAACGGCAAACAACAACAACCACCACCACATCATTTAAATTGGGCTACTGAATAAAAATAAGCATAGATATATATATTTTTTAATTATTTACTGCCTTGAACAAGGTTTTAAAAATGCAGAGGAAAGGACTTCAATGAGTCTTCAAAACTCCAGGTTACCAAATATATCTTTATAAATGAGGTTCTTCATTTACCTACACAAAATACATTTTCTTTGGATAATGCTAGTACTCTGTGAGCTAAAAATTAGCATAGCTATTACCTTTGTAATGACATGAAATTGACAAGACAGATTCTCATTTTGAGGAAAAAGCTGGAAGCATTATTTTTCTCTTTTTTACTCAATTCAGCAGT